GTATTACGAGTGCAAGTGATCACCTGAAGCGTAGGGATCAGGAACAATAACAGGATTATGTTTCCAGTCAAATTTGGAATCGATTCTCAGAGAAATAATTAATTGTAAATTTCTAGTATTCGACAAATTAAATGTTTTAAATTTTAAGATAAAATACAAATTGACCAAGAGAAAACGCTTGAGGGAGTAGCGAGGGAAGATTTATATTCGTCTCCTGACGAGATTAACATGGGAGATAAATATGATGATTCGATTGCATCCTCAGCTACTACGCCCCTGCCTTTCTCCGCATGATGCTTTCACATAGACCTCCACCTAGTGTCATTAGTCACCACAGTAACATTTCTCCGAGACTCGAAAGGGACGCAAAACTATTATACCCACTTGTTCCGCATAGAAAACGGCGGCGGAGGTGTTTATGGTAATCTTACCATAAACGATGAGCCGCCCAAGGTGTCCCGTTGTCACGATCATTTTTAATGTTTTTGACTGGAAACCGAAATGGAGATAATTGGATAATCGGTTCGCTTCAATTCTTTGTAGCGCAGTCCGATCATTGTCGCAACTATAATGCATTCCGATTTCCCAACAAGAAGATGTTAATTTTTTTCTAAATCAATTTGTACTTTACTAAGAAAAAATAATTTACAATAAACAGCTATTTTACTTTTTAAAATTAAAATGAATCGTAATTTATCAACTTGATTGTTTGAAGGAGTAACGCAACGAAGGAAAAATATTACAGTGCAGAAATAGTGAAGATAGTAGCTGCTGATTAAATTCTCTTCAGTAACGTGAAGAGCAATTAAAAAAGAAAACGAAATAAAAATCACGAATGAGAAGCCAAAATGCATCCTGGTGAAATTAATTTTCATCTTGATTCTCAACGACAGGTGTTTATAAACGTTTCGTATAACATTTCACTGGCAATAGCAGTTTTTGCAATAATAGTCTGACACCGATATATTATGGCGAACAATGCGCATTACTTTAACCGCGCGTATATAAATAAAATTAACATAGGTCAACGCCGATGATGCGCGCATGCGAAAGTATTCATAGTTTTCAACGTCCACGTGGTGAACGAGACTTGACACATTGACAAGAACGTGATACGAGACCACCTCTGCTACAACCGAGATGAGTATCTTATTTGTTATCTCGAGGCTACCACAATTTGTCAAGGCAAATCGGATTGATCTAAAAGGATACTGATCGACAGACGGGACGGGAGACATTCTTAATTCCCCAGGGAACGAAATCTTTATCGGACAAAGATATTTCGCACGATAATCGATCGAGATCAATGATCACGCGCTAGTTGATCGCACGAATTGCTGCGGTCATCGCATCGTAAGAAAATAAGAAAATATAAATGCAGAATAATCTACAGCATGGCAAGAGATTCTCTGGCGCCATCTGAAATCATTCGGACGAAGGGTGAATGTGGTAAAAGCCTCGACGCGATACCGACTATTCATAAATCAGAGAATATGTTTTTAAAAGATAGCGCCACCAGAAAATTTCCAAAGAGAAAAAAATATTTTTTTCTTTAGATATGATTATGGGTGTTATTTTTATATTATTATAATTTTTTTTATCTTTTCTGATGGCCCTGTTTTTATCTTTTAAAAACATATTCTCTAATTTTTATAAATTTATATGTATATATATATATATAATAAAAATTTATTTATTTATAATGCTAATAACAGCCGTACTATTTATTCATATATTGCGTCTATCAGTTTCAATGATAACATTTTACACATAGACCAAGACTGAATTGTATGTATATATAGTATAGACGCATGTGATAAGCTTAATACGTTAATATTGGATACGATGAACTTCATGCTGCAAAGTCATTGTTTATGACATATGTATGCAATTGACATAAAAACGAGATAGATATGAACACGTGATCTTCAATATTTTTTAAACATTAAACCATTGCGAGAAAAATTATTAAATAATTATTAAATTATTAAATTTACATATTAAATATATAAATATACATATACATATAATATTATAATATATATAATTAATCGCTAATAATCGTTTGATTCTAATTTGTTTACCTACTGCAATTTATTTGCAACTACATTTTTACTCCAAAACCTTAGATTTTTTCAGTAATTTTTTCTCATCAATACATTCGAAATTGATTACGAATTCATTTTATATAATGCAACTTTTCTTTTCGATTCTACAATTGTGACTTGTATGTAAAATACATTTAAGCTAAGCTTCAATTGATATTTAGAGTTTCATGTTTAGAATAATTTAGAATTCTATTTATACAATAATAGAAATATGAATCAAAGGATGAATGCAGTGACTTGTTCTTGAGATAAATGTGCACATCGTAATCTGTGTGCCCATATGTAAACTACTTGGTGATTCATTTGATTAGTTTCCGTATAAAATCTTAAATATCTTAAAGCCTCAAGTATTTCTTGAGCCTTGTTCGCAGAGTTTAATAGAAAGAAAATAATAGGAACTTAAAATCGATGATTTGAATCGACATTCGAATATACATGTAAATTTAATAATATTTTATTGTATGAAATGCAATTAAGTTGCGTTATTATAACATTGCGTTATAATCGTTATATATTTATCCATGACTCATATACATAATATTGTATAATGCAATATAATACATACAGTGTAATTATATAAGTACACAAGTGTATAAGTGAATGTGCACTTGCAGTAATAGTCACTTTACATGTTTGAAATATCGTATTTAGTATAAATAGTATTTTAATAAAAATTTATTTTCAGATGAACAGAATAAAGACTTGCATGCTGATTTTGTGTAAACCTGCTATTATTGGTAGGTGAGGAACAAAAACAGTAAAAAAAAAAAACAATTAGAAAAATCCAATATCTGCTTTCATGTCAGATAAATCTGAGATAAAACTTTATAGGTTTAAGATATATATATAATATATACAATGTATGTACGTATGTATGTCTTATAAAAATTCGATATTGTCTCACAATTCGCAGCGATGAAGTTAATTTAACATGTACAGATCCAATAACTATTGATTAGTCTTGATTATATATTTACATGATTTATCCGACTAATTTATATAGATACAAATGATCTTTATTATCGTTAATTATTATTGACTATCGCTAGTTAAGTAATATTTATATCGTACTGTTGTATTTCATATTAGTGCGTTGGCTTGCATCACACTGTCAGCGTGAATTGTGTTATCTGGTATTACCAAGAACAGTATCATTAAATCTCGTGTCGAGAGACTTTATCCTTCATCGAAAGTGTCACGGCTTTGGCGCCAAGCGAGATTATATATATACGCGTTTCAATGTCAATAGAATTCTAATATGTCAATTAATTATTGAACGTATACATTTATCATTTGTGTCATTCTCTATTATTTTATTAGTACCAATGCTATGAATAAAATTTTCGTTGTGGCTTTTAATTTAAATATTTTATAAGATTTTATTAATCTTAATGAACGTGAAAAAATAATAAAAAATTTGTAAAATATACGTATCTCAGATACTTTTGTTTTCTTTCAACTCATACAAATTATAATTAATTTAGAATTAATTTTTTTTAATATTAAACTCAAATTTTTCATTTTATTAGAAAAAGGACTTTTTAAATACTAGCATTAATAATTAAAAAAATAGCAATTTATAATTAAATATTTCTGTTTAATGCAATGTAGTTTACTTTTCTATACATTTATGTATGGATTATATTATTATACATAAATATTTGTCGTGCATTACAAATAATCTATTAAACTTATTAAAGTAAAATTTAAAAAACCTTGTAATGTAAGAGATTCAAGTTTCTCTTTTTTGTATTAGTATAGGATAATTATAATAATAAGATCTCATTATGTGATAGTCTGAAAGTTTAAAGTACTATTTATCGGGGACATCAAGAAAACTTATTTTATCTAGACTGGAATATTAGAGAAAAAATTATTTTAACTAAACATATAAGCATAGTTTTATCTAAACGATTATCATGTTAATATTGTTGTCTTATTCAAAGTGCTTAATCATTCAAATGGCTACTATTAGGTTAAATTACTATCATTCGATTGATACTCTCGATGAATTATAAATAACGCAACGCGCGCATTTTGAATGATCGGAAAAGCTCTTTGCGCGCGAACCCACGAAAACCCGTTTTGATTAACAATAAAATTTTTCATGGAAATCGTGACATCATGCGGAACTGGGAATGTCCACATTGGCGAGAAATGACTCGAATCATTTGTAAGAACCACAGACTTCTATACATATATGTATAAACTGGACTGCTCACATTGTCGCCATCTTTGAAGCTAAGAATGTGAGTAGCCATTGCTTGGATCAGTACACTCATACTTATATCATTCTTAAGGTAGTGCGTCTCACGTATTACATTCACGTGATATACTCAGATCACGTGGTACACTCATGGACAGTGCGCACACATACGCTTATGTGACCAAGCAATGTCGGCTCGCGTACACTTCTGTCTCCTTCTATCACACGAAAAGTCGGCGGAGTGCGAGCAATTCAATCAGTATATGAAAGTCTGTGAGATGAGAACATGTTTGACCGGTTATATCGGTATCATCAACATCAAGTGCGAGAAAGAGAAGGCATTTAGATTATCCCACGTGTTTCTGAATCCTTCGCAAGGTCGGAAGTGAGTAAAGAGTATAACAAAAATATAATGCATAAATGTTTGAAGTTATTTTATTTAACATGTACGTCATCACTTGTGCCTATTTCGCAATAAGGAGGAATAATTAAAAAAAAAATCGTTTTAATGTCTCAAGTAATTTTTAATATCGAGAATTCCAATTTCGGTTTCAACTTAGTGTCAATTAGTGTCTTTTTAAGATTCATCTCGCGCCTTCTTGCGACACGCCAGAAGTGAAAATGCTTTCTCTTCCCTTTTCCCCAATCCCAATTGAGATTTGCTAACGACAGTATCGTCGACCTACCGCGTTTGACATCACCGCCAGGCTCATGTTGCGCCTTTCGAGCTTGGAGAACGTTTCGGCCGAGAGAGAAATCACAAGCACCGCGATTCTACTCCGTCAATATGATACGTCACAGCTATTTTTGGCGGGCTCGACGTCGTCGCTTGCACAAGGATCTCCGTAATGTCGTGTTCCGCGACACGGTGTACGCACCACCGGGATTTCACGTGTCTGTCGCACGGCAACGTACGTAAGTGCGGTTAACGCGAGGATCGTGTAACGACCGACTACTGACCGCTAGTTCAGCGAGCACGAGTTTTTAACGAGTTCGACCGTATCTTATCGAAGCGCAGTGAAAGATTCGCGATCTCGACGGGTTTTCACTTTTACGCCGCGGAGAAGTCGCCGAACGAAGGAGGAATGCGCGCTGAACGTGGTTTTTTTTTCGCGCTCGTTACACTGTCGTTGCGAATTACACACTCGCGATCGCGAGACTGACGATCGCGCGACGGTGACGGCGTCAACGCGGGGCGGCGGCGGCGACGGCATCCGACGAGGACAGATTGCTCTACGCGCGCGTCACGATGATAACGATGCGTACGGGTATGGATACAAGTCTTTCGCGCTGCCACTCGAATCATGAAGAGCCACGAGCCGCGCGTGAACTCACACTGTGTCCGCAACATTGCAGAACCTTCGAGGCTACTCCGTTCAACCTTGCTTCAGGTCACAATTGCATGGGATCGCCGATAAAAGGCGATAACAAAAAATAATTTGCCCGCATACCCGATAATTAAAAGTCATTTGACACAAAGATAAAAGTTTCTGTTTAAAAATTTCCGTGTTCCTGCACACGGATAATTACGTTTCATATTACAATTTCCATGCGCACGTGTATGACGATTATATACGTTTCTTATTACAACTAGATCAATAGAGTTGTGTATAAAGGTTAACGTTGCCGATTAAGTTTGATTGTACATGAATTCTTTTGCAACAATCGACATTGACGGAGTCCCTAAATCGTTACCAATGGTCAGGGGCAAACTAGATAAGATATCGTTGCCAGCTAAAATTTACACATGACCTTTTACTTATATCTACATTTCATACGAATACATAGAATTATACTTTTACGTTCACAATAGCGATTTTTCAGTAACTTTTCAGTCACAACGTGATTTTTCTATCAAGCAGACTATATAAATGCAGAAATGCTACGCACTATTTTCCTCGCAAAGTCATCGAGAGTCTTGTACCTAAATCCTACATTGCTAATCTGCTTCTCATTATTAAAATATATACATTAAATTTTGTCCAATCGACTGGCGAATCGTAAGGACAATTGATAATTGAACGGATAATTGAACGGGAAAATATTGCAAAGTATCATCAAAATGTGTCTATCGAGTCGAAGATAAGATATGGAAATTATCGGTCACGTACGTACGTACATCTATGTCAGAAATGGGAAAAAGAGTTTAATAATATATGTATATGTATAAAATAAAATAATGATTACATTGTCCCTCATTTTTTTCATTTTATTGAAGCGAATATTTACAATTCTTAACATTGTAAACATGTTTTAGCATTCAGCACCGGGATTCAACAATATATTCTCGTGCACATTAATAACTGTTCACCGCAATAATTACATAAATTCATTGCACGGGTCTATTCACTGAATTATGTGTCTTTCCTCTCAACGAAATAAACTTTCTCTGCTTTAATATCCTTTATCATTTTCTCACCGATTGATTTCCCCTTTTTATGTAATGCGTGCATATAATTACATCGTTGCATTCGCGAGAAAAGTGTAATTGAATGCTAGAGCTATGTTTTCGTGATATTTGGGCGTAACGTAGTATTTAAAATTCCTCTATCGCGTAAACATGTTTTAGCATTTTAGCGACAGCATTCAACGACATATTCTCGTGCACATTAATAACTGTTCACTGCAATAATTACATAAATTCATTGCACGGGTCTATTCAGTATTCACTGAATTATGTGTCTTTCCTCCCTGCACCAAAACAAACTTTCTCTGCTCTAATATCCTTTATCATTTTCTCACCGATTGATTCCCCCTTTTTATGCAATGCGTGCATATAATTACATCGCAGCATTCGCAAGGAAAGCGTAATTGAATGTTAGAGCTATGTCTTCTATGATATTTGGGCGTTACCTCAACATCTCGTTAATCAGAATCAGAAATATCCGACAAAGTGTCGAGAATAATGACAACAAAGTTTGAGTTTATGCGCGTTTATAAAGAAAAAATGTTAAAGAAAGCAGAATTAGCGAACACACTGTATATTCGCGGTAATACACGTGCGCCTATCACGAAATCAAGGTCGTCGATTATTCTAGATAATAATACCGTGAATAGAATACGAAGGCATAATTACTGCGAGCAACGAACAATTATTAATGACGATTGCTAAAAAAAAAAATATCATCTTCCGGGCGTGCCTGAGAAGAATAGCTTACGGCAACATACGATGCTGCACTCTGCAGAAGATTATCGTCACAAAAAAATGTTCGAGAGATCGAACGAGAAGTATGAAGACATGTTTGCGCGACAGTATATGAATGATTATTTGGTCTTATGTCATAATAGTTTATAAAAATGTGTCATAGCTGAGGTTTGAGTCGCGGTTTTAAAGGAAATCTTCACGACGAAGAATTGTTTATGTATTGAAAAAATCATTTAAGAAATATTAAACCATTTTTTTTTTCGAACTAGAGGACGATTTCATACTGCGTGTTATTCAACGTGAACTAATTCTGTTTGATAAAATATCTTGAGATAATACTTTTTTCTGTTTTAGTACGACGTAATGTAATATTTCTAATGCGTTACGTAAGAGCAATAAATAAAATGGATGAATACAATTAAAAATAAGAACTTATCACTAAAAATGCAAAAAACATTTTAGCTCACTGAACATAAAATGTTGATTTAGTAAAACTGTTGCTTGATATTTTCTTCGACATCAATATTGATGACCAATAGAATGTAAGGCTAATCTTGAATATAATAGACTAAACTGAAAATAATTCAATAAATCTCGTATTTATAGCAAATAATAAGAATGATATTTTGCTCGCACACAGATTGGATGAGTTCCCTCTTTTCGCATACCATTCATACTCGCAATAATGTGTAAATTGGTTCGATTAACGTACCGAGAAAAATTGTTACTTCCAATTAACTGTCGCCGACCTCGCCGGTTACATCACTGCTCGCGCAAAATCCGCTCTGACATTTTTTCAGAAATACCGGTGCGTTAATTATTGCAAAAGTTCATGAGAAACCTTATCTTTATAACTTTTATTAAACACGATAACGCTAGAGCTTCCTTATCAGAGATAACGTGCTGGACCGATTCTAAACATAGTCACAAATGCATCATATCATATCGCGCGAGCTGTTTTTTTTATCACAATAAAGTGTGTGTTTGATACTGCTGAGGAAAAACATATTCCAGCTCGTACAAGAAAGCTGTTTATGTTGATGTCAGCGCTCATTTTAAACGAAATCAACGACGCAGTTTTCTCGCTTGCGGATGTAAAGCCAGTGCAGAGAATTACTTAACCAGCAATCGGTAATTAAAATCTCGATATAACATCAAGCTACTTCATTACACTGTTTTATCGATGGAGAAATAGACACGAGGCTTGAGGATCGTACACGTGTTGAATGACGTACTACGTTGTCTATATACATATATGTACGTATAGATGAATCGCATCTTCGTTTCATTATGAAATTTATGAACATACAACAATTATAGAAATTATGAAAAACGATATTTGTTTCAGGATCAATATGAGAAATAATAATTCATAGCCTAGACTAAAAGAAAATATGCTTTGGATCAATTTTTAAAAATGTAAATGATTCACTATAGTTTCATCACCCTATTTTAATAGGAATTTAATTTGTGAGGACAAAAAACATTTTTAATCAATCAGAAATAACTTAACTTGGGCATATTACGCTCGTTAGTTTGATCTAATTTATTTCTGATTGTTTTTTTTTTACACTAACAAGCTTGTCGTTATATTATTTAAACATTTTTAATACTCATAAATAATTGTCCTTATAAATAATTTGTTACTAAAAGATATCTAAAAGCTGAGAGAAAATATAAAAATAATAATGTATTTTACACGTGCGCAGCGAAGCAATAAGTCAAATAATATTAAAATAAAGATACATGTTCGCTGAATAACTTATTGCAATTTACTAATTTAATAGTCGACTGGGCATGGCAAAACTTCACGAAAAGCGCAACAAAGATTTCGAGATCTGTTCGATTGCCAAATACGCGTGTAGACGCGTGGGTTTAACCCGCGAAGGTTAGGAGATCGCTGCACTCTTTCATGAACGAATGTTGTTGAACGCATTGCGACACGGTTATTTTTGCAAAAGCTACCTCGATCCCGCTAACCTTGAGTAGTCATCCTTCCTAAATGCCCATCCCCAACGATTCGGTGAAACGCGCAAAAAAATTCGTTCTACGTTCTACGCCGTATTTTCCCGCCGATCGACTTACATAGATGTGTGCGGCAGTGCTAATTTTATGGCGCGCGTCGAAAATAGTGCAATGTTGTTTACGTTAACGCTTACAAAGTTAATACGACAAAGACGGTCACTGCGCTAGTTCGTATAAATTGATGGCACTTTATTAGAGCGGGACCGCTCTGATTCACGGGGATTTTCGTTGACTAGAACAACATGCACAGCAAATCCATCGTAATAAAGCTTTCTACATTTGCCTTATGTTAAAAAAAATTATTTAGAGAATATTTACTTCATTTGAATAATCGATGTGATTTGATATTGGTAGTGGACGGATGTGATAATGAAAAAATCAACATATGAGAATCTCGGTGCCGGGTGCATTTATATTTTTTCGACTTTATAATTACGCCTTTGATTAAATTTTCATCAAAAAAAGCTTCACCTCAAATCAAAAGATGTATAATATTGTGCTCAAATATCTAGTTGAAACTTGCATCGATTAAAAAAAAAGGATTTGTAAAATCGAGTGACGTGAACGCACACACACATGCGGGAGCGATAAAAATAAAACAAGGAAAATATGTGTACAGGAAATGAAAGTTTCATTTTGCTAAAAACTTACCAAAAGACATTGTACATCATATTCGGTGTTATTAATACAGAATGTTGCGGTTCTGTTGCACAGCAAAGAAATACCGTGATGTTTACGCGAAGCAACTTCAAGCAAGTTTTAAAGCAAGTTTTAAAGATAGCCTCGATAAATTTAGAGAGATGTGACATGATACATACCTGAAACAAAAAAAAATACCCATATCGTTTAGATTACCGTCGATAATAAAAAATGAAAGCACATAGGCACAGTAAATAATTTATATATTATAATTATATTAATAAAAGCCAGCATATATTGAAGTTTTTTAATCATGATCCTCTAAACGAGGAATATACATATAGTGTATCGAGATTTTTCTGTCACAATTGTGCGTGTAGATCATACTACAGATTATAACAAATTATTTTGACTTGTTTAAATGTCAAGAATATTGCCAAACTGTAAACCACATTAACATTCCAAGTTTTCTCCCGAGAGGTCAACCACTACGAGAATCAGTGTATATTTTTTAGAAATATA